ACATCAAAGGAAACTTGGAAATAAGTGCATGATGGTATGCAATGGGATAATTTTAAAATACATTTTACACGCGCTGTTATCAAATATTTATGTAAAAATGTGAGAATTTAACACCGTTTAATTTGATACAACAATCACATTTCTCACTAACATGTTAAGTGAAGAGTTCATAAAAAAAGTTTGTTACCAAAACTAGTAAAAAATATAAATTTGATAATAAGCATCCTACGACCGAATACTAAAACGTAGCTGAAATGCTTCGCTCCAAGTGTCGTTTACAATATGACAGACGGCAGTTTAGTATTCGGCATTACAATTATAGAGATTGTTAGAATTTTAATTAAAAATGTACCGTTGTTTTGTATTTATCATAGATTTTTAAACTGCGTTATAACCTCAAAATTAAAATTGTATCCAAAAAAGAAAGTTTTCAAACACACTGTTATAGATTCAAATACATTTGAGCAATATGCTTTTGTGTTCTAATCAAATACATTTTTAACTAATTTTTACAATAATATGTACACGCAAGTTACTTAAGTTACATTTAATACAAAAAGATTTAAAAATTAATTATTTACAAAAGTTTAAACTATGAAAGGAACACAGTCAGTACTTATTATGTATTTATGTACATCGGAGGGGATTTACTTTTTGGAAACACTGTAAGGTCTATTTCGAAAATATTGCATACTTACACTACTAAAAAAAACCACTAACTCATTGAGAGAAAAAATTTTTTGAACAAAACTATTTAACATAATAGAAAAAAAAATATGTAAAAAGATATGTTTTGGATATTAATGAAACTTGCTGACTATTACTTGTTCTGTTAAGTTGAATATATAACATAAATTCACTTACATTTTTATTATATAGTTAATTGAACATAAAAGCAAGTAATAACAGCAGTATTACTGATTATTGAGAGTCTAAGAAGTAAGGAAAATATATTTGTGGCGTAGGATGTCAACAATCGAAGCATATTTTTAAATGATCCTTACGACACGCTTTAGGCTATATATTTTCACGCTATTAAACTTAGGGAGTAAATAAATTGGAAAATCCTTCATATAGGAAAGGGACCATAAACTACAAGCTGCCAACATTAAGAAAACAAGGTTATTGGTAACAGTAATTTTGATATTTGTTTGAATTCAACAAATGTGAACGATAAAATAAAGATTTTTTTATAATTTGACGCGGATAAAGACAGTAGAAGTAAATCAGAATGTCTTCCAGTGCTTCCAATGTGTTATTTTATATACAGCTCTCCTGCACGCGGTGCGATGTCGTCACC